TTTAAATGGCTAAGGAAATTCCTACAGGGCTTTTTTATTTATTATCTAATGCAGCTTGATTTAAAGCCAGCAAAACATGTAAGTCAAATTTCTGATTTGACCAAGTGGCAGAGAACACACGTATGATGTATTTAGGATTGGCAAAGGCTCATCTTGGTGAATAATGCTGTAAATTACTTTTGATTAAAAAAAATCAGCAGAGCAAGTGAAAAATCATTGCTACCAGAACAAGAGCAATAAAACTTTAATGCTCTGCATAGAGATTGATAGGTAGTGGAGAAGCTGATTTGTAAAAGTCACCAGTACCACAGTGCATGAGTTTATTAAGATCATGAAAGAGGCACAGTAAAAAATGAGGTCATACTTTAATCAACAGGAATAGAAAATAAACAGCTCAACATTTGTAGGCTTCTTTCAACGGAACTTTAGTTTGAAGTTAACTGCTTCTGCAAAACCCTCCCCAAACTTAAACCATTTGAAAACAACCCTCTCTCAACCCTGATCTGTCTTAGCATCTAAAGATAGATAATAATGAGTTTAGAGGCAGATAGGAAAGGCTGACATTCCATCTCTCTGATAATTAAAATATATAAGGAAATGCATTGAAAATCTGTGCTTTTTTTCTCCCCCTTTTTTCCTACGTGAGTTGTCATTTTCCTATCCTTATACATTATGTGTAGTACCTTATACAATACAAATCTCTGTGTCCCTAGTGGGGTGTGCTGTGGCTCCTGCAAACATGGACAAGAGAATTAAGGCGCTAGATTTGGAAGCTGTTGGTGGCTGGGATCAGGCCTTCGCATCTATTTCTACATAGGCACCCTATAACTGGAACCCTGGCCACTCCCGTAACATATACACTGAATAACAGCTTTCTCTGCTCAGGAAAGAAGTGAAAGTCCCAACAACTTTAGGGTAAATGACTGGCTAAAACTTAATGATCATTTGACCAGACTTTCATGGTCTCAGAAACAGCCATCACATGTTTGACACTAATTGAATTTGGCATCCTTGGCTGAAAAGTCAGACCAGAAAGTCCGAGGATCTCACAAGCATAAAACGTCTTCTATTTCAGGAGATGAGTCACACGCATAAGAAAGTACAGAGGTGCTGGTGACTGCGTGTATTTCTGTGTACAGTTTCCACTGTCGCTCTAGAATAGGCAACTTTCCTGATAAAAGTGTACGTACAAAATTATGCTCTTGAAGGCTGCCAAACTGACAGCCTTTGTACCACTGGCAAAAGTAACATGAGTTTCTTATTCCATCTAGCCAATATGCCTATATTTAACTATGATCTAAAAGCACTGAAATACAGTATAAGGAAGATATTTTATCTTCTTGCTCATTTATGGTTTATTGCAAGATGCTGAGCTTTTCTGGGAGCTAGTGGGAGTCTTCAACTCCCACTAGTTTTGTGGGAATTTTAGTGTGGTAAATATTTCACAAGTATGCCTGTCATTTTGTGGGGACAATTTCTGAGTCCTTCACCTCTCCTCTGAGGTTTTGTGGAACACTCCAGTAGAAACTCATCAACACATTGATATCATTGTCAAACAGGGGCTTACAGGTATCTAATAGTTCAGCTAACTACCCTTTCAGTAAGCTTATTTATGTGATTCAGTGTTTGTATGATCTGGATTTAATCTAAAATTAGGGGCAAATCTAAAAAGGTCTTTAAGTGCCTAAAACGAAAAATATTCCCTTACCCTTGGAAAAGCTTCACATTCAGAAGCTGGCTCCGTCTTCGACCTGAAAGAATGAGTAGAAATGATCACTCTTTTCTAAGAATGCATTCTTAGAATGGCATGAGTGTTTCTGTCCGTGATACATGTACGTAACTATATATATGACTACTTCAGTGCACACTTTAATAACATGTAGAGTTCATATTACTGGGATTTTCTGTGTTTATATTGAGGGGTATTCATTTTTGTCATTTATCTTCCAAGAACCTTTATTTTCAGTATACTGCAGGTTTTTCAGCTTATAGACTATATGTTTCTCTTTCTAAGAAGCTAAGTATTTTAAAAGTGTACATGTGTTATAAATGTGTTAACTTGAAATGAAGAGCAATGTAATAATCATGTTTATCAGACAGTAAGGGGAATAAAATGAGACTTGGAGAAGAGAAAGAGTGTTTTCCTACATTAAGGGGATTCTTTTGAGCTCTAGACTATAGAAAATCAAGGAACAAATTGGCAGTAGCAAGGAACAAATGAGTAATGTCAGCTATCCAGAAATTAGCTTTCTTTGTGTGTAATAATTGAAATTTTGGTAGCACAAATTAAATAACTACTGCATGAGTATAAGGATTTAAAATACTTACAGCAGTGAAAATGTATAAGGAGTTAATCTGGGTTAATATGATGTTCTTGTGGTAATATAAGTGTTAATGCACAACAATATTTTTCTTTTGTTGCTTATTGGAAATGAGATAGTTGCATTGCTGTTGCGAACATGATTGTCCGGAGCTCCAGGGGAAACAAAGTTTGTAGGGAAGGTGATACCCTTGTTGGCCCTGTACACCAGATAGACAGGCAGTAATAATACATAAGAACCCAGACTATTCCAATCATACTGGAATATGCGAGATTAATAAAACAATGTGTATTATATATGGGATTAGTAGCTTCTTATCCACAGCCTTGCTCCCCTGGCTTCCAGATGCAAACACGGGGGGACTCCTGTAACTTGCTTGATGGTTCCTCAGGCTTCAGTTCTCACCTTACTTGGGTCCAGCGTCAATTTTTAGTGGGATTTTTGCTTCCAATTTACAATATTATAACATTCCAATGACTGTATTTAAATGTCCTTCTTGTGGAAGAATCTTAGTCAAACTGGTTCTATCTGCTTTTACCTTTTTTTCCTAAGAAATTCCGCATGTGCAAAGCCTTGTCTGATCATCTGCACTTGTGGATATGGTAGTTCACTCCCCAGCTCCCTTCTGGGAGAACTAATCAGTTCCCCTGGGCTCTGTCTACATTTGTAACTTGATACGCAGGAGTGGAGCAATAGATTGAAATGGATGGTGCTGAACATGATAATCTCTCTCCTATTTGTGTGCTACCAGGATTGTAAA